CTCTCCTCTTTTTAACTTGTATATCCATGATCTGCCTGAAACTGTTTCAAGAAATTTAATTATGCCGATGATATCAATCTCACAGCCCAAAAAACCAACTCCAGTGATGCAGAGGACATCCTTTCTCAAGAACTCCAGAAGCTGGATGATTACTTCAAAAAATGGCCCCTCTAACCAAGCCTAACAAAAACAGAAGTAGCCTCATTCTACTTCAGTAATAGGTATGCAAATTATCAGCCTTCAGCGAAATTCCAGAACCATATTTTACTATGTAATAACTCTCCTGGGGGTAACACTGGACAGATCACTACTCTTCCGACCATACCTGGAAAAAATAACTACAAAATTGAAAAGCTACAATTTACTGAACAGACTTGCTAGAACATCCTGGGGTGCTGCTGATGCTAACACCCTACAAACAACAGCCTTGGCTTTGGTTTCCCACAGTTAAATATTGTGCTAGCATGTGACCTAACAGCGCCCACATTCAACTGTTGATGTCCAACTCCACCAGACAATGCGTATCATCTCTGGAACATTGCATACTATTTGTGTGTACTGGTTACTAGTACTTAGCAATATCATACTGTCCCACATAAGGTGACAAGTTCGCATTTGGTTATGGTCAAGGATGCTAAACAAGGTCCTCCCTATTCACCAGGACAATCCACAGCCCATCACAAGATTGAAATCCCATAGGCCAGCATGGAAAACAATGATTCACTTAACATCTGCCCAGTTTAACCCCCAGAATGCCTGGAGAGAAGAATGGTTAAATGTACCTTCTTGTGGTCTGACAATTAGTGATCCCTCTACCAAACCACCTGGTTTTGACTGATCTCACTCTATCTGGACAAAATTGAACAAAATTAGGTGTGATACTGAAAGAATTGCCTTGGCCCTGTATCAGTGAGGATGGAAAGATCCCCTTTGTTTTGATTGTGGTGCTGATATGCAAACTACTAAACATATTGGGTAAGATTGCCCACCTTGTGTGTGCTCTGGTTCCCTAGACCTTCACAAAGCAACGGCAGAGGCAATTGCCTGGAAACTGAATTGGACATCCAGTTATGAGGCCACTGTAGAGGTTTTGTGTATAATTTACATGGATTACATGTATAGATTTACTTCTTTTCTGTCATGTTTGTATCGTATGTTAAATAATAATGGAAAAAAGCAAACTGCATACAGCTTAAGACACTGTATACTTATAGAACAGGGATGTCAAACTCGCAATGTCATGTGACGTGTTGCAACATATTGCAACTTTTTTTCCATTGCCGGCAATGGGGTGTGCGCCATTTTGGCATGACGCAACTGGCCCATGGGCTGGCAGTTTGACACCTCTGTTATACAATAAGACTGTTTTAATATGACTAAGTGCTTATGGGCAAAGCTGTTCATAATCCAGTTCTGATTTAAATTGTATCTAAAGGTTTGCATGGTGTGGAAAGTGAAAAGTTGCAGCATTAAAGGAGCTCTTGTTCTTTTTATGTCTGCCAAAAGGTTTTAGCCAACCAATAAATTTGATGAACCAATTATTTCTGTCTATTTGTGAAGTCTCATGCTTTCCCCCAACCCACCCACTAAATCAGTTAGGTTTTGTGTTATTGATCAATGGTTAACATTATCTCTGTGAATTTATGTCTCACACAATAATCTCAACAAGCATCTTGCACCAATCAATTGTATCTGTCACAAGTAACTTTTTGGACATGGATTTTAATACTAGTAGCAGGCAAAAAATGAACAAAAACTGGCCACCTTCCTTATCCTCTCCTTAGAAATGTCACATTCAGCAACCCGTTGGTTAGGAACAAGTTATAACCAATAGCCTGATGGTAATCTTTGTAAATTGATTTGGTTTAAACTTACCCAGAGCAAATAACTAAAAAAAAATGTAGATACAAAACTTTTTTTTTCATGGTAAGCTAAACTGGAGAGCAAAACACAATGCTCAACATCAAACATGTTTAAAAGATTACACTTATTTCAGAGGCTACTGCTTTAAAATATTAACTTTTTTTTCAGTTTGCTTCCACAGTATAATTGGGAAAGAATACAGCATGACATTTAAAAATGGAACACTGTAGTAAAGTTATTTTAGGTAAATCAAACTGGCATTTTTGGGCATACCATTAAAATGTATAAAAAGACTTGTAAATAGGTAGAATTGCATTCTATATATTTTAAGACCGATCCGTACTAGAAAATTCCCGTTCTTTTCACATTCAAAGATTATTTACAAAACCGGCCCATATAGCAAGGACATGTCACACATCAGGGCTAGCTTTTGTCCATTAAAATCTAGGAATTTCTTAAGAGTTTATTACACATGGTAATTATGTAGTCCTTTATTACTTTAAAGCAGATGTGAAATTTGGAAATCGTATTACAGTAAAGAGCTCACGGCAGCATTTCCAAATACAGCGTATGCTGAATTGTGATACATTAGCAATAAATACAAAATTAGAAATACGGAAACAACTAGTACAGTGCGCTAGAAAGGCGAACTATTTCAGTATGTCTTTTACATATTTTCTTTTATTCCTCCTTTCTCGCGGCTTCACGGGAGAAACTGGAAAATCCGAAGACGTCTGTTTAGTTCACCTCCTGCTGGAGCCAAGAAACATTCACACTTCCCACATTGTAGTGTTCCCCCCCCCCCCCAAAAGTCATTCGTACCGCTCTCCCTCCCTAACACGTCCCTTATCTATTCCTAGATAAGATAATCCGCATAGAAAGGACTCTCCAAAGAGGCCTTTGGGCAGTTACTCTTCTGTATCAAAGGCATGAGCTCCAGGCCTTGCATTAAAAATTGACTTCTTGCACGGAAAAAAAACCGCCTTCAGTTATTTCACTTATCAGCGCTGGGGGGAGGGGGGGAGCTTCCTCTCCCCCCCCCCGGCTCAAGCTCCTTGGAAAGGGAAAAGATCCTAACGCCTTTATATATGTTAGCCCCCCCCCCCAAAAAAAAGCGTAGCCCGTCTCTCGCGAATGAGGCGAGCCAAGGCGCAGCAACCCGAACCACCCACCCTCCCCGCGACTGCCTCTGCTACGAGGCGGCACCTTTATCCGTTCAGACCGCGCAGGGTATTTCGCGAAGAGCGGCGAAAGACCGCCCAGTTAATCCAGATCTGTTAACGGGAACAGGCGCCACTCAGGCAACCGCCCACTTCTTCGTAGCGTCCCGCTAGGCTCGGCTCCGTGCCCGGACGGATTCCTCTCGTCACAGACGGCGCTCAAGGGAAGCCATGATTACTCGTTGGTGCCAGGAGAACCACGCCCCAGGCCGTCCCAAGGGGCAGCGGGAGGGGCACACGCGTTGGCAAAGAGTAACCCCCCCACACACACAGGGTGACAATATCAGTGGCACATCCCCACCGAAGGGGCTGCCGCCCGCCCAGCTGTAACCACAACTCGCGCTCGAAGACCCCTAAGCTCTTTCACAGAAATGCAGCCGCTCCACAACTAATTTAAAGGGCGCGTACGAACGTGCTGATCATGAGCGACAAAGCCGTTTGACTGACTCACTAACGGTCGAATGATAACCCGAGAATATAATACAATCCCGCCCTCTCTGCTAATATTGTGCATCCAGTGATGAGGATGAAAACCTAAGAAATAGAATACGACTGAATGTTTCCGGTTTCTGATTGACCTTTTGAAGTACGTACCACATGTCGGCAAAGAGTGGTGAAAACGCGTAGGGATAAATATTTTGGTAATAAAGAAACAAATATAACAAGAGGTCTTCATTGCATCGCTACGCTTAGCACTAATCGTGCCTTCCCTCCAAAATGGCTTTTGATTTCTAAGACTTCATTTGCTCGTTGGAATAGATCACTTCCCTATGTTTTTTTTTAATTACGAGAGATTAGCTTGGTTATTCGGTGCCCTGCTTCTTCCAGTTGAAGTATTCTTCAAATACTTCAACTGGCAAAATTTTACAAAACATGAAAACATACCTGTTTATAAATGCTAGATTTAAAGATGTAAACAACAAGAAGTGGTTTTGGCTAGCGAGAACAACACATCAACTTTTCCTAACAAGATCAAAAGACGCGTTTGATAACCATCTTTTCGGAAGCGAAACAAACTTTATGGGTAGGAGAATGCATTTAATTTCTGTCTGCAATGTTACCTTGTCAAGGCATCAGAATTCAACCCATTTTAAATTCGCGGACTGTAGCTTGTAAACTTCTGGAGAAAAATTCTAGTAGTTTACAAAAACTTAAAAGACTACATGCCAATTTAAAAATTCTTTTAAGTGATGCGATCCTTTGAAATTTGCCCTGTTTAATTCCTCTTGCCCGGCCGCATGTGAGAGTCTCCACATATTGCAACTGGAAGGGCTGAAATATAGCCTCCAATACATAATGGCTTTAGCTCCTCGATCGAAGCAGCGCCGATACCAAGCTCGAGCGTAGCGCTAGAAGAGCGCTACGACTGACGTAAGTCAACAAAGGTCACGTGGCCACGCCTAAGTGCGGTGATTGGCTGCGTGGGCACAGGGAAACGGGGTGGGGAGGGGGGGTCACGGTGGCGGCGTGGGGTTCGCTGTGTGACACAATTACAACAACTTTGTTCAGCTGCTGGGGAAGTTTGTACAGGCAACAAATACACCCCTCGCGGGCGGGCGCGGGTCCCTGTCACCTCGACTCCACTCACTTTTCGTCGCTGGGGCTGGCGGCTCAGCAGCGATGTAAACACTGCTCCGTCACCGCCAGCAGCAGCAGCCGCAGCCTCCTCCTCCTTCTCCTCCCACTCCCCCCCCCCAGTCTTCAGCGCTGGGGCTCCCTTCCTGCTCCCTCCTCCTCCGATCAGCGGGGCTTCCCCCCGCCTTTCTCTCCCTCCCCCTCCCTGCCGGCTGTTGTTGTTGTAATAAAAGTTGTGGTGGTGCGTGTGTGTCGGGCACCCCGCCCCGCCCGGCACTGGGGGGGTGTTGGGGCGCGCGGGGAGGGGGGCTTGCGATCGTGAGTTAATTACGTTGCGTTTCCATGAAATCGTGTGGAGTGTCGCTCGCCGCTGCCGCCGCCGCCGCCGCTGCCTCTACTGCTTTCGGTGATGAGGAAAAGAAAATGGCGGCGGGGAAAGCGAGCGGCCAGAGCGAGGAGGACTTCGCCAGCCTGACAGCGGAGGAAAGAGAAGTCCTCTCTGGCCTCGACAGGTACTCAGACGGCAGCCTCCGTGCTCCGGCTCGTCCGGTGATCTCTCTTGCCCGCCCGCTCGAGGTGTACGAGTGAGCGAGCGGGCGAGTGTGTGTGTGTGTGCGCGTGAGAGGGAGAAAAAGCGAGTGTGAGTGTGGCGGTGCTCTTGGGCCGGAGCGTGGGCTCTGCCCCTGCCAGCGAGTGTGAGGGAGCGCACGGAGCGATCTGTTTGGGGCGGGGTGGGCTGGGGGACTCCGCGAACGTGTCTGTTTTGCTCAATCTCTCTCTGTCGCTTGATTCCCCCTTGTGCAGCCGACTCTTCGGATTTTTAAGGCTTCATGAAGATGGCGCCAGAACGAAGGCCTTGCTGTTAAAGGTAAGGGGACTGGGGTGGGGGAGGAGGCAACCGACCAGGGAGCCACCCTCCCGGGTTTGTGTATATGTGTGCGTGTGTGCGCGCGTGTGTGTGTGTGCACTTGTGTAGGAGCCTGTGTGAGTGTGCTGGAGAGCTGCGGAATTAAACCGTCACCTCGCGACCGTGAGGTTCGGCTTCGCGCTGACTCCCCCTTCCTCGCCTGGGTCTCGGGAGAGAACCGCTCGGCTCTTCCCTTCTCCGGCCCGCTGGAATAGAAAGCTCCCGTTGCCCACTTTCAGGGTTTTATCCAAAAAGTAGGGTAGAAGGTGCCGGCCCGATTCTCTCCAGTTAGGAGCAATCTATCTGAGTAATGAGAAGATCGGGCGATATTTAATAAGGACTGGTTCTCGGGTTTGTTTTTTTTTATTGCTGAAGGGAAAAAAAAACTGGACCGAATTGAATCGCTGAAAATGAATTGATATCAATAGGAAGAAGGGTATTGAAGAAACGTGGCGCCTCTTCCGTGGTGTGTCACTCTGAGGAGCCTGTCGCAAACTGATTTGTTTACTCGTGCTGTGTCCATCTTCCTTGCAACGTGCATCTTCATTGAACGATTTGGTTTTTCTTAAGCTTTTCACTTCGTAGGACGTTTATAGAGAACGGGTTGTAGGTTGCGGCTGTTTTTGTACAACTGACTAAAGAGGTATCTTCTTTCAGTAAAAAAAAAAAAAAAGTTCTTGGTCCTGTCATTTAGTTAAGTAATGGCTTCTCCTCTTGGCCCAAGATGGCCGGACAGGGAGGAGAAAGAACTTGGTGGGAGGAGGTAAACAGAAATAAATACTCAGAATGTATATGCAAATATGTGTGAAATGTTTGACTTTTTAGGAGCTGCATAGGCTGATGTGTCAAAAGAGTTTTCCTAGTTGAATTTACTAAAAGCAGAATATTGTGTTTACAGAGCTGTTGGTAGATCTTATTAACCTGTAGCATATCTACCTAAATTACATAGATTTTGATACAAATTAATTTATAGGACAAATCTTATTAGAAAACAAGAAATGGTTTATATTGCATTACTTGAGGTTTTCTTTTCAGTGCTAGTATCTCACAGCTTTAGTTTAAGTGCAATGATTTCCTTTTTTTTAAGAATGATTGTTCATTCAGTTTATTGGTCTACTGTGGGTATAATATCAGCTTCTCTGCATTTCTTCTTTTATAACCAAGTAACTTAGCATAAAGATTAATGATTTGGGGAATATTTTGATAGAATGAAGTTCTTGTTTCTAGTGACATTGTTTTTAAAAAGGCAATCTTTACAAATGTTGAAACATTTTTAGATATTTACATATGTCAAATATTTATGATGGGAGCTATCTGAATTTGAAATCTTAAAATATTTCATTTTCTGGCACAGGGTGCAACTATACAGTACACTGAAAGAGTGTTTAGGTTTGAAATGTTAGATTACAGTATTAATGTTTGACATGATTTTAAAGAAAGTGTTCTAAGGAGTAATATGCTATTAATTTCTCTGTAATTTAGGTTATGTATTTATCTACTGGGTATAATTATAGGAAAATCATGGGTTGATTTTCTTTTGTTCATTGATCTAAATTTAATGCTTAGTATGTACTAAAATATGTTGTGATCGTCTATTCAATATTTTAAAATGGGTTGTATATTAAACCTATATTAAAATTTTAATTGTAGGAATATCAGAAGTCAAATTATTGGTCCTACCCTCACAGAATTGATAAAACTGAATAGCAGGGTTTCAGCCATATTTTTTCTCCACTTTTTTCTAGAAATTAAATGGGGATCTTCTGCATGTAAATTATTTGCTTTCTATAGTACTTCAGCTCTTTCTTTACATATATTTCTACTCTGAAATATATCTTGTTGAATTTGATAGGTAAGTGGATGTAGCATAAATGATATCAGAAATTGCACATCAGAAGAAAACATTTTAAACAGCCTTTAGTTTTGCAGAAAGCGAAGTCAAACAATTCTCATATTGGTGCCTTTGAAAGTATTAGGACAGTAACTTTCAGAATTCCCAGCTATCATTTCCAAAATATTTTGTTTTCATCGAATTTGAGATTGAAGAAGAATATTAACATTTATTTTCTAGAATAAGTTACATCAGGCAAAGAAAATAGAGTGGTACCTTGGTATTCATTAATTGGTTCCGGAAGGCGATGAGTACCAAAACAGATTTTTCCCATAAAGAATAATGTAGTGAGTCATAAGCCAGCCGACACCAACCAGTTCTAGCTTGTGCATTACCAAACAAACAATGAGTACCTGGACAAATTTTTGTGTCAAAATGCGTTGAGTACCAAATTTGATGAGTTTAAAAGCAGCTGAATACCAGGGTACAACTATAGTTGAATTACCATAGGAGGTAAATTATAGATTTGTTGTAGATGTGAGAGTCCAGTTTGTAAGCATTTTGGGTAAGGTAGCCCAAATCAAAGAAACAATGATGGTCATAAGTACCTAAGAGTTGATGATAATAAAGTCAGGCTATGGATAGTTCAATAAGAGAACTCCTTGCTCTGTTATGCTCCAGGAGTTTTAGTCTACAATTCAGTTCGTATTGTAAGATGTATGCTGTAATACCTTAATTCATCTGTAGGTACAAGTTTTGGAAAGTTTGTTTTAAGAAATAATGAGTACAGTAGAAAATTGGAGTGAGAATTCTTCATTCTTAAATGTTAATATTGATGTTTACAATCAGCAAGAGAAACCAATCTAATAATTCTCCAAACTATTTTACCTTTTTAAAGGCAAAATTAAAGCTGCAAGTTAAGTATTTCAAAATCTGTGGGTTTCAGCCTGAGTCTAGTATTGTTCATTAATAGTTATAATAAAGATTGTGTGGTCTTGCTGTTTAAAATAGAGCTTTCAAATTGTAGGAAAAGTTGAAGAAACCATTATGTGCAAAGTCAGGGTTCTGAATCCAGAGATACTTCTATTTGTACAGATATGGATGATAAATGAGACACCTGTGTAAGAGCGTGGAAATGTCAAGTATTTTCCTCTTGAATAGTGATTAAATCCATGATCGCCATGAAACCTCTCTCTCAAGCTTGTTATTTCTGTTCCTTTTGATAGATTGTTTCAGTTGTTTTATAAGAAAAATTGAGTTAAATATTCTCCAAAGTGATAGCCATGTTATGAATCAGTTCCCATCAGTAGTAACATAGTTATCACTTTAGAGAACATTAAATCCAGTTTTTCTGCTGATGTCAATTTACATTATTATTTTTCATTATTGTACAATGTTGCTTTTAGATGTATTTTAGGAGATACATAGCTTAGGTTCACAGTATTGTACTATTATAGATATGATAACCTTATCTGTCTTTTAGGTGTTTGGCGTAAATACTGCTGTTTTCATTGAAATTGGAAATAACATATGTTTATTTTGACGAGTAGAGATTGATACTCAATTTATGATGTCAATTCCTCTGTTTTCTCATATATGCTGCATTTAGGCTCTGTCAAAGTAAAAAGACATAGAACTTGCTAATGATTTCTATAATTTTATCAAGTAAAATGCTAGTGTGAATGTTCCTGTTCAATCTGCTCTAAAATTTACATAAACATCTGAAGCATTGAACTGAAAAGAAAATTGAAATGATGGCAGTTTCCTGATACCCAGTTTAAAGCATTTTTGGTGATTAAAACAAATACGATAGTAAAGTGACTTAATGATTCTTGAATAAGACCAGTAAACAGCAATTAGTAGTTATTAATTAATAATTGATTACAAGCAGGTAAATTGTAGAACAGCTTAAAATGAACAGTATTCTCAGTCAATGATCTTGATATATATAAAAGAAAAAAAATCAGCCTAAAAAGTATATTTGTTAACCAGGAGAGTGATATGGATATTATAGAGCAAACATGCCTCATAAATACCTCAATACAATATAGGAACTTCTAATATAAAATCATTTACTCTGCTTATTAGTATGCTGATAAGTAATATGTCAAAAAGCTATGATAGAAATAGCAACAATTATTTAAAAGTATGGTTAACATTAATTATCAGTTAATATTAAAATGGAATTGGATAGATACAATCAAAACTTCCAGTTGATAACTTCTTCCTCAATAACATCCAGTGTTTTACATAGAGTTACACATGTTAGTAATGCTGCATCAATAAAATAGCATTTAATGAAGTTTTATTGCTCTGCAGTTAAATGAATACCTGCATGCATAGAAACTACCATCAATAGACATTTTAAGTAACACTTTAAATTCACCCTCAATCATTATTACCCATTCTTTGCATCATTATTATGGTATATTACGGTCTGCTTAAAAGAGATGTCTTATTTAATATCGGAGCATTTTGTTTTCAAAGAAAGTAACTGTAAAAGATTCTTTATGACTGACATCTTCATTTTCTCATTGCTATGTAATTCCATGTTAATACATTTACATAGCAGATATGGTATTGACTGAATTTAATACTCATGAAGTTGATAAAAGTTCATTTGCATGATAAATCCACAGCTAATAGGTGTCTAAAAGATTTTATTTTTTAAATATTTTAGCTTATGTAATGGCATACTGAGTTGTGTTTATTAGTTTATTTTTCTACTGCTTCAACATGTTGTTCTGTAATCTTCAAATCATACATACCATTTGGATTTTAGAGGATGTGCACCTTGTGTTCTAGTATAACCACTTTTATGTTGAAATATCAAATTGACTCTAGGGAAAATTTTGAGCAGTTGAACCAAAATTGGAGTAATGCACCTTATCAAGATAATTTTGAAGTTTCCCAATGAATAATACAAGGATTATTTCCCAAATGGGATAACTTGTTTGGAATGAATAAATAGTACAATTTTAAATAATATAATAATTCCTGAAAGAATTAAATAGAGTTAGTGAGTGTTTATAAATATTACACTGTTTTTTTAAAATACATTATTACAGAAATAGCGAAGGTAAAGTATTCTGTTACACTGTTACATATTGGATATACTGCATAGACATTT